GGCTGTTGGTCTCTTCTCCCAAGTAACCAGCGATAGGACAAGAGGACATGGCCTCAAGTTGTGCCAGGGGAGGTTTAGATTGGATACTAGGAAAAATGTCTTTACTTTGAGAGTGGTCAAGCATTGGAACAGGCTGTCTAGGGCGGTGGTGAAGTCACCATCACCGGAGGTGTTCAAAAAGCTTGTGGACATGGAACTTCAGGATATGGATTAGTTGGCATGGTGGTGTTGCGTTGATGGTTGGACTTGATGATCTTAAAGGTCTTTTCCAACCTTAATGATTCTGTGATTCTGTGAATACTGTGTTCAGTTTTGGGCCTCTTACTACAAGAAAGACATTGAGGTGTTAGAGCATGTCCAGAGAAGGGCAACGAAGCTGGTGAGGTGTCTGGAGAACGTCTTATGAGGAGTGGCTGAGGGAACTGGGCTTGTTTAGTCTGGAGAAGAGGGGGCTGAGGGGAGACCTTATCGCTCTCTACAACTCCCAGAAAGGGGGTTGTGGTGAGGTGGGTGTTGGTCTTTTCTCCCAAGTAACTAGCAATAGGACGAGAGGAAATGGCCTCAAATTACCCCAGTGGAGGTTTAGACTAGATACTATGAAAAATTTCTTTACTGAGAAAGTGATCAAGCATTGGCACAAGCTGCCGAGGGAGGTGGTGGAGTCTCCATAACTGGTGGCTTCATCATTGGTTTCAGAAAACTTGTAGACGTGGTGCTTAGAATAACTGGTGGCTTCATCATTGGTTTCAGAAACCTTGTAGATGTGGTGCTTAGGGACGTGATTTAATGGTGGACTTGGCAGTGCTAGGTTAATGGTTGGACTTGATGATCTTAAGGGTCTTTTCCAACCTAGATAATTCTATGATTCCATGATTCTGTGATTCTATTCTAATTTTGGAGAAGGATGCCTAAAGTCACAGTAGATGTCTCAATCACTGCAAGGAATTAATCCATAAATTTTAACATTATTTTATGTATGTAAGCAACGATATACTACTTTCAAACAAAATGTATCTACTTTGTTCTTGACGTTGCAAACATTTTCATTTTTTTCTAGTTTTTACTACATACTTTGTTATGACAGGGTATGAAAGACCTCATAGGAAAATCATAGTGAGAATAATGTTTTTCATATGAGATAAGAAACAACCTTAAATATAGCAGCTAGTAGGCATTTTATTTTCTTAATAATTAAAGCACCTTTCAGATTAGTGATACCTAATGTTTCAGATGTGGTTATCCCCAGGGATCTTACAGAAGCATTCAAAGACTGTATACCCAAACATTGTTACTTGGAAGGGAAATCGGTAATGAATATTTTGTATTACTATAAAACAGGTGTCCTGGCATTACATACCGGAGAAGTGCTGGGGGAAAACAGAACAGAGCTTTGGGAAAGTGTTAGAAAGCAAGCTGCCAGTAAGCTTATGACTTGTTCAGTACTCAGGAAGTGTTATGTCAGGCCAAATGTGATTCATGGGTTGTATCCAAGAATTTTCCGCTGATGATATTGAAAAAAGTAGTATTATCTTCCCTGTCTCATAGTAACAAACCTTTATGAGAATTTTTTTTAAAAAGTATTAAGTGTTAACTATGAGTGTTTCTACCTTGTCATATAACTTTATTTCCAAGCTCCTGAAAAAATGTTACAGAAATGCAAAATTTTTAGGACCAGAGGTCTTGCTACTTGCTTTTTAGCAGTAGAGAAAGCTCAGAATGACCAACCTATTGTAAAGTAGTAACTCTAATTAGATAAAGTATAATACCTCTTAAATATTTTTAATTTTTCACCTATTAGAGAGGGTTGAAACAACTCCCTCCTGTGGAAGGGAGAAGAGAACCAGGTCAGGTTGTTCACCTGCAATTGTTAACTTCACAAAAATAATTTGGAAATGGATGAAAAGGAATAGAACATTTGGAGTTGAGAGCTCTAAAAGGATCTGTAGGGGAACTAAACCAGAATTCGGTCATTTAAATACAAAACTACAATCTTGAAAGTCCTACGCAGCAAATACCTGGACCTAGAAACTTAAACTCCATAGATAACTCATTTTAGTTTTGGGTTTGTATTTACAATTCTATTTTGTGTTTAAAATTTTACTTCTGATCTTGACTAGAAATGTATTCACCTTGACAAGGCTGACTGACTCAGCAGCTTTTTATACTAAAGCCCCTTGGAAAGTATGATCCAGATATTTCTAACCTGAGTTTGATGTAGTCAAAAAGCATATGCTGTTGAAGCATGCCCTCTATGTCAACCATGTTCAATGAAGTTCAGTAAGTTTCTTTCAAAACAGAGTGGAAATAGAGATTAACCCATTAGTAGTAACAGACCATGAGAACTTTAGGTTGAATTCCAACCCCTGCTCTTGTTTCTTGCCAGTTTAAATCTATATACCAAGAACAAGCCTTCTGTAATAAGCTAAAAGTTATTCTCAAGAAAATATTCTCAGTGCTTCTTGCTGAAGTTTCCTTTTATGCAAAAAAACCCCTCCACTCCAGGGAGGAGGAAGTCGCTTTTCTTGTCTATTTTTTTTTAAAGTATTGATCAGAGAGAAAAGGCTTGGATTCAAAGCCAAGATACAAAATACAAAATATTGAAATAACCATTGGAGAAAGGAATGGAGCCTGGTGCTTCATGAGAGTATTCTACATTAGAAGACAGAATTATATGTCTTCTTTATAGCCCAATGAATCCAAATTAGTTTCTGCAAAATAAAATAGCTTCAGCTGCAGGAAATGGACACTGTCCCATCGCATTTAGTTCATCATCTTCAGCAGTGGGAGAGTTCCTGCTCTAAGCAGAGAAGAAATGAAATTCTCCAACTTCCAGTGCTCAAATCACCTGAGCAGTTGGAGATACTGTGGACAGCCTAAGTTGTTTCTTTCTTTCTGTTGCTATTCTTTAAAGAAACAGTAACCTTCTCCTCTATTAAGAGATTAAGCATGCATCTTTGGGTTTTCAGTCTTGAACACAAGATGTCTCACTCAGTACTGTTGAAGATAATTACATCCTGGAGAGGAACATGATTTAAAATGCCCTTGTAATGTATCTCTTCACTGTTTGGTGTTACACTGCTTCTAGTCAAAGAACTATTCACAGTGCTATTTTGTGTCAATGATGATTTAAATGACATAACTTGCTTTAGATGACATTTTAGAAGATATCTCACTGTCGTCATTTAGCCCCAGCTGGCAACTAAGCACCACGCAGCCACTCACTCACTCCCCCCTCCCGCAGTGAGACAGAGGAGAGAAATGGGAAAACACTCCTGGGTTGAGATAAAAACAGTTTAATAGGACAGCAAGAGAGAAGGAAACAACAATGATAACAATCATAATACCGACAAAGGAATGTACAAGAAAAGTGATGCCCAATACAGCAATTGCTCACCAGCTGGTGATCAATAGCCCATCCCTGAGCAGCAATTCCCACCCCTTGCCAACTCCAGTTTATGTACTGGGCATGACGTTATATGGTCGGGAATATCTCTTTGGCCAGTCTGGGTCAGCTGTCCTGGCTGTGTCCCCTCCCAGCTCCCCGCTCACCCCCAGCCTGCTTGCTGGCAGGCCAGCACAAGAAGTTGGACTGTCCTTGACTACTTAGCAACAACCCAAAACATCAGCACATTATCAACAGTTTCTCATCCCAAATCCAAAACATAGCCTCACACTAGCTTCTGTGAAGAAAACCAATTCTATCCTGGCTGAAACCAGTATTAGGTGCATAGTCCAGGACTGTGAATTATGAAATGTGGATTCTGAAGTGAAAGCCTACACTGTTTGTGTATTGAAAAAACTTGGTAGCAACCAGGTGACTGACTCAGGACAAAATGTGACAATGGAAGAAATCAGTGGGCACGTGCTCCTCTGATACTAAGGCTTGATGCTGACTGAAATCTCATTCATATTTGACTTTGAAACATCATCTTATACCCTTTGAAACAAACAATTTACACTATGGAAATTATTTTCCTAGTTTCTGAGTAACATATTTGCTACTGATTTATCTTTTTGTCATTCCTTCTTTCTAACAGCTGGTTCCAAAATATTAGTGAAGGATCCCAGACCGGCTTTGGGAACACCAAGTCCCAAACTAAGTGGTAAGTACTTTGAGGTATAAATACTTTTAAACAATTTCTGTAGAAAAGACAACGAGAATTGATTTAGTGTGACTGCACTGAATGGTTTAGAATGAATAAAGGGTGCTAGATTAGGCATTACATTAACAGAACAAAACCATCATTAATTAAATTATTCCCCAATGTGACTATATAGTATTATTTATACCCTTACACCATTTCTAACTGTTATGTGATGATAGTTTTAATGGTTTCACTGTGTTGAAATTGCTGTGTTCTGTGTAAGATCCTATGCAATTTACCCATTCAGAAACTATATTATTCACCCAGAAATAATTTAAAGCCATGTTGTTTCATATTTTTTTTCACAGTCTTGCACTTCTTTTACATATTGTTAATTTAAATTGTTTTACTTAAACACTTCAGTATTAGCCTTCAACTTAGCCTTCAAGAAAGCTAATTTTAGCCTAGAGAAGGTAGTCTCTCTAACTCTGGCTAAAGTCAACTCCAGTTTTAACTGATCTGCTGAAGACGACTATCTTTGGATGTCCTGACTAGATCCAAGAGAAACCTGACGACACTTTTTGATGAGAGCAGTCTTAACTAAAATTAGCCTTCAACTATAACCCTATTAAATGTCTACCAATAATGAATAAAGATATAAAAGTAATTCCTGAGCATATGGGGTTTTGTGGAGTTTAGTGGGGCTTTGTTTTCTGTTGTCTTGGGGTTTTTTTTTGTTTTTTTGTTTTGTTTTTTTTTTAAACAGGCTGTACACTACATCAAAACTGTGTTTGTCAATTATGTACTGCATGGTAGTCACATTATCACTTTTTTCATTCAGGAACTTTTTTGTACAATCTCAATTAGTTGCAAATAAAGTACATAAATATCAGTTTTCCTGAAAGTAGGGAAATAAATTTCAGGCAGATCACAAATCAACAGCATCAGCCTGTTTACACCATACAGTTTCCTTGCTTGCAGTTTGCAGGCCCAGTATCTAGTTTTTTTGGTGTTATGTGTTTATTTGTCAAAAATATATGCATATATACATATACATAAATAAATAAAAATCTAGGAAAGCTCTTTTACCCTCCATGGGGAAGACAACCTGTCTCTGTGACCCATAAAACAAATGATGAAGGAAGACTGTTAGCTATTCCAGTGTGCCCCAATCTTGAATTTTGGGGTGTCCTGGGAGACAAGGGCATGTATTCTTCTGTGATTATCTGACATGAGATGCCAATGCATACACAAACCCAGAGTTTTAAGTTCAGTGTGAGTAACTCTAAATAATGTGAAAGTGCTGATTTTAAATAATGATTATTTGTTATAGCACCAAGTTTGATATATTTACTTTGGAAAGTATAGTAAAACCATCCTATGTCTCTTTCAGTTTAATTGTTTAAATTATGTCCCATGTTAAGATTTTAAAGATGTACATGTATCTCTTTCTACCGGATAGGTAATATTTTTTTAACCATTTTGTTGCAGGAGTAGCATTACTTAAATTAATAATTTTACAGTTGGATAATGATAAATATTAAATGTAAACATATAAATCTAGTATGTTTATTGTCCCTGCAGTCTATGATCTGTTTTTAATTTTCAATTAGGGGACTTTTTTTTTCTCATGGTGAAGCTCATAATGTTTTTAAGCATTTGAAGACAAGACAAAACTTCTTATATAAACTTTTCGTTAGAAAAAGTGACTACATGCTTATAATCTTTCAGTGTCATTTACATATGCTTACAAAAATTTTGATATCTAAATCAATATTAATTTCTGCACAATTAATCCTAGCTGTATGTCCCTGCCTGTCTGTGTGCTGCCATAGAAAAAATTCTGCAGAGAGAGGAATTTGGTCCTTTTGTTACAGCAGTTAAATTATACTTTGTAAAGTTGGTTTAATTTTAGGACATGTCCATATTTGAGGAAAGGAGCAAATGAAGGTACAGATGTGGTTGTGCTCTTCAGTACAAATATATTTCTTTCATGAATGTTTATGCCAGAGTTCTATGTTTTATATGTGAAGGTTATGCCTATTAAACTTAAAAATAGAGAGGGTAAAGTAGAAAAAATGCTAATATATATCATACATTTTGTTGGATGCTTGAATTCATAATTACTAAATATTGCAAAATATATTGAAACATGTTTGATGTCTGTATAGTTCCTGATGATGTATTTGCCCAAAATTATATATGGAAAGGATCTTACAATTACAAAAGCAAGAAACAGCCCATGACTTTGACAGTCACCAGTTTCAATGCAACTTCAGGAAGAGTAAATGCAACACTTACAAACAGCAATATGGAATTGCTGCTATCAGGTATGGGAAAAGAAAAACTCATTTCCATTTAATTTTTTCTGCCTTATATACATTGGTTCCCTGTAAGTTTATGCATAACGCTTAAATTTTTAACATCTTCTGGAAACTTTCTTAGCTTACCAAAGAAATTTTCATTCTAGTTCAGTTCCTTTTCAAAGATAGGGATTTTTCCACCTTCTCCTTATCTCCCCTTTTTTAATTTCCAGGGTTTTTATTGTATTTGGAGTTAATAGCCAATAAGGAGTGAAAGAATCATCCTAATTCTCATCCTTCTTATTTGCATATTATAAATAAACTTAAATTACTGTTCT